ATAACTTGGATATATTTAACCAATCCGTGGCTCGATGAACGTCGAATTTCTCAACGAACGTATCGAACGTTCCATCGGAAAAGTGTAAAGTTGCGGGAACAGCGAAACAGATTTCAATTTAATCCACCTCGGAGCTGCAAGATATTCAAGATTGACTTGTCGTCGAATACGATTACCGGAACTTATTGCTCGTCAAATTAATCTCGTGCAATCACTTGTACGATAGAACAATCGGTTGCGTAATTCGGTACAAAAGGAACGCGAATTTTAATTTGATGCAGGTAATCCCGTATAATTCGCGATTATCGATTCGCGCGACGGCTGCGAAAGCTTAAAACGGTTTACGATGGTAGAATCTCGATGGAAACAGTGTACAATTAAAAAAAAAGAACTTGCAAGATCGATCTTCGAAAAGTATATATACCGGATTTCAGTATCTGGTTCCTTTAGCCAATATAGGAGAGTCGGAATCAGTCACAAAGCACCACTCGTGCTGGGGAAGGGAAGCCGGGATAAATTGATGCATGTATTATAGAAGCAAGTCGTTGCGAATGCGTCTTTTTGATAGCGCATATGCATAGTAGAATCAGGATAAGATTCGAGAACGGTTTTCCTCGAGTTTCTACTCTCGTAGAGTGCAAACTGTGCAAAGTTGTTTACCGTCGAGTCAATTAATTCGGTCAATGCTTTGCGACGAAAGTAAATATAATATATAATATATATAACATATATATATATATAATATAATAATAATATATAATAATATTATTTAATAAATAATAATTATATATATATATATATAATAATAATGTTATTTATATAATATTTATAATTTGATAATATTATTTATATAACTATTTTATATTATTTTTTCATGAAAAATTACTATTACTATTACTATTACTATACTATTACTATTGCACGTTTAATTTCATGAAAATATTTATGGACAGCTTTTTTCGCTCGAAATTGCAGAGTAGATTCGCGAAATCATTTCTTATTTGTTGCTTAACAATTTTCTATTTCTATTTAAACATTCACGTTTTCGATTGCGTTAACGTCTCGTTATTTATAGCGCGTAACAATCGCTTTAAATTGTTATATAGTATAGTATACAAAAGTATAAATCGAATGTCAGTACATATACTTCATTCCTGCTCATGCTAACCCTACACCAGGGTTAATACCAAAAGTTTCCACCAGGTGGCTGATCTTCTCGCTGGCAAAATTGCACGGCGAAGGATATATAACGGCAGAGCGGAGTGCCATCGTCACTCTGGTTTCCCTTCAAATCACGCATAAATCTTTCGCCTTTTACTAAAGATTTCCGTGGAGGGGAACAATTGATGAGTCTTGTATAATAATTTTTTGTAGTACCCGACGAAAGTTGGGTCATTTTATTATAGAAAACAAAATTCTTCGTTAAACTTTTTCTTGTTAACGTCAGAGAAGTTCGATTCATCTTTGAAAGTACTTATCGATCATATAATCCATTCTTTCAAAAACGTTTTTGTGACTAATAATATAGTAATTTAGTATAATAAATTATATTGCAGATTGCATAAACTTTATACAGTTTTGCTGCATTTTATATTTTTTCTTATGCAGTTATATTAATTATAACAACTTCTGTGGCAACAATTGCCAAAGTCCTTTTCGTAGTATTTGATTTATTTATTTGATATTTATATATTATTATTTATATATTATTAAATATTTATTTTTTAGATTTGGTTTAATTAATATTTGATTTATTAATATACTATCTTTTTGTCCATGAGCAAAAAACCATCTTAGTTTCTGCAACTTTTAGTTGATTTCTCTGTTGGTAGTAAATAAATAAAAGAACTCCGTTTCTACAAAAGCGGTTTTCGCTTCTCAGGGAAAAGGATCGGTATTCAGAAAAAAATGTGTTGGTAGAAAATCGATTTTTCAACCGATAGAATCGATATTTTCAAGAATCGAGTAGTCGGTGTCGTGCGTCCCAACGTCTCGGCGAATTGTCATATTTTCCGTAGTCACGAAAGGGGGATATGATACCTTGACACTCCGTTTGTAAACGAAAATGTCTGCCGTACCCAAAGAGGCAGCCAGCCAGCAAGCCAGCTAGCACATATCTGTCTCTTGCAGAGATGAACATTTTTTTCGGAACCTTTGATGTTGGAGTACAAAATAAGGGACCTTGAAGGTACTGGATATAGGCACGTTGTCGGGTTCTTTACAGGCGTTTTACCTTTATCACTTTCTGTCGGCCATTAGATAAAAGAGGAAGAAGAAACTGCATGCGACGTACCCGAAACGTTGAAAGGGATGAAAACTCCCGGCGACGTTCAACGTATAAGATTATAAAATATGCCGATTCTCTCGTTTCTCCCTTCAATTTTCCGTCAAATGATCTTGCGATTTCGGAAAATGGTTATAATAGTTAACGTTAAGAGTGAAGAGCCTGTCTCTTATACACATCTAGATGTGTATAAGAGACAGGCTCTTCACTCTTAACGTTAACTATTATAACCTGTCTCTTATACACATCTAGATGTGTATAAGAGACAGGCTCTTCACTCTTAACGTTAACTATTATAACCTGTCTCTTATACACATCTAGATGTGTATAAGAGACAGGCTCTTCACTCTTAACGTTAACTATTATAACCTGTCTCTTATACACATCTAGATGTGTATAAGAGACAGGCTCTTCACTCTTAACGTTAACTATTATAACCTGTCTCTTATACACATCTAGATGTGTATAAGAGACAGGCTCTTCACTCTTAACGTTAACTATTATAACCTGTCTCTTATACACATCTAGATGTGTATAAGAGACAGGCTCTTCACTCTTAACGTTAACTATTATAACCTGTCTCTTATACACATCTAGATGTGTATAAGAGACAGGCTCTTCACTCTTAACGTTAACTATTATAACCTGTCTCTTATACACATCTAGATGTGTATAAGAGACAGGCTCTTCACTCTTAACGTTAACTATTATAACCTGTCTCTTATACACATCTAGATGTGTATAAGAGACAGGCTCTTCACTCTTAACGTTAACTATTATAACCTGTCTCTTATACACATCTAGATGTGTATAAGAGACAGGCTCTTCACTCTTAACGTTAACTATTATAACCTGTCTCTTATACACATCTAGATGTGTATAAGAGACAGGCTCTTCACTCTTAACGTTAACTATTATAACCTGTCTCTTATACACATCTAGATGTGTATAAGAGACAGGCTCTTCACTCTTAACGTTAACTATTATAACCTGTCTCTTATACACATCTAGATGTGTATAAGAGACAGGCTCTTCACTCTTAACGTTAACTATTATAACCTGTCTCTTATACACATCTAGATGTGTATAAGAGACAGGCTCTTCACTCTTAACGTTAACTATTATAACCTGTCTCTTATACACATCTAGATGTGTATAAGAGACAGGCTCTTCACTCTTAACGTTAACTATTATAACCTGTCTCTTATACACATCTAGATGTGTATAAGAGACAGGCTCTTCACTCTTAACGTTAACTATTATAACCTGTCTCTTATACACATCTAGATGTGTATAAGAGACAGGCTCTTCACTCTTAACGTTAACTATTATAACCTGTCTCTTATACACATCTCCTTTTGTTAACTTCAGTATTTCTCTACCGAATATTATTCGATTAAAAAAGCTTAGACATATCGCAAATTATATATACGCAAATATCTTGTAATAAAGATATTTTTCCAAGTAATTACGAAAAACACAGAGTCGTTAAGGGATGGAAATTTCCATCGCGAGCCACACGTGAGAAACTCGAATTGATTTTTATATTTTTCTCAGAAATTACCTGTGTACGAAAAGCTGTCCGTGTCACGCGACAGACAGCTTACATCTTACGGTGCTAAATTTGGCGCACGTTCAACGTTTACGAGGCATTTTAGGACTCGCAGTTGAATGGAGCACTCCGGGCAAAACATCGAAACAGATCAAGTCAAGTGGTCCTACTTCAAGATGGCGGAAAGAGTGGTGGTTGAAGCCGTCCGATTTCACGAGTTCTCGATGTGCATGCCGTTTTTACTTCAAAGGCTATTGTGCAGCATCGTTGCTCGTTGTATTTATCTTCCTTGACTCCGCGCGATTATTTCGCCGCGTTCGATTAAAAAAAAAGAAAAAAACAGAAACGAAAGTGTATAAATATCCTGTTCGCAGTTTTAATCGAATCGCAGTACAGAAGCAACGGGAATGTAAGAATACCCCTCGGGCAAAACTTACGTTGCTTTGCTCCGCCATTGGACCGGGAATCTTTGTGCAAAATTAAAACTTTCTGCACCAAACGCAAGGAACAAGATCGAAATAAAAGATCGATTCCTCGTTTAACGATTTGGACACTCAAAATTGTTGTACGTTAAGTAAGAGTACCTGATAAAATTATTTATATAATTTATGTATTATCTATTATATTATATTTAATTTATATATTATTATATTATATATTATTATTATATATATTATATTATATATATTATATATATTATTATATATAATTTAATTTATATATATTATATATTATTATATATAATTTATATATTATGTTATATAAATATATAGTTATTTATATAATTTATATATTTATAAACTCGGACATTGATCGCAGCAACTTCGAAAATGTGACTTTTGTTGCTTCACCTAAAAACCGCGAGCATAAATATTGCAATCCGTGTGTTCATATGAAAAGCAAACCAATCGTTTGTATTTCAATCTCAGCTCGAGGAGTTTCGTACGCGACGCCGTCTATCTTTTCCATCCGCAATATATCGGAAATGTTTTTTAACGCGTCTCTTGTTTCACCTTCATCGGACGACAAGCGGAAATTGAAGCTCGCTGCTTCAATATAATATGTGTTTCTTACTCGATCGGAAACGTGGCACAAAAATGGCCCGCGGCTGGTCTCAATTGACCGAGTGATGTTTGAAGCATTATTGTATACTGTATATTAGTCGATTAGCTATCGTAGAAATGGAGACACCGTGTTCGATACGTAATATTCATTACGAATGATTTTGTAAAAACAATGTTTCGTGTAAGAAACGGCGTAAAAGAGATGCATGTGTGCACGGAAAATTCTCCCTAATTGACTCTCAGCTTTGGAAACGAAAATGGACAATGTGGGAAGAGAAGATACGATTATTTTTTTGTCTCAACTATGAAAGCGAGCAGCAAGGTTCGATTAATCGTATCTTCTCTTCCCAAATTGTCCATTTTTGTGTACAATCTGAGCGTTAATTAAGGAGAATTTACCGTGCCTAAAAGAATATTTAATACATCTCGATGCATTAAATAAGTATTATATTAATATAATAATAAGTATTATAAATAATAATATATTAATAATTATTATTAATTAATATTTAATCATTAATATATTAATAATAATAATAATAATAATTAATATAATAATAAGTATTATTATATTATTATATAAGTAATATATTCTCGATGTATTAAAGTCCGATACCCGATCGGACTTTGATACTTCATTATTTATTACTTACAACTATGGCTTTTTAATTAAAGCGTACTGCTAATTTAGTACCTATTGAACGATTAATCGATAGAACTGTTGTGCATTGTACTCAACCTGACAAACTGGGGGATCACACATTTTTTAGGACGATTAAAATTGACGACACGAAATGGTAGCGTTTTAAAAGATATTATATTTATAGACTGCATTATCAAGTGTGCACGAGTTGGGTTCGTATGACAAAATTAAGTTACCGCCACGATGTTTTAGTAAAGAGCATACTTGGGAGCGTATGAAATGTGGCGATGTCGTTTTAGCTCGAATAGTTGATACTGAAAATATATATTTTGTACTATCGATTTTTTAGGCATTGATATTTTTGTATGCGAGGCATCGAGACTCGGATCATTCGATGAAACAGAACATGAACGATACAATTTAATCGTGGCAATGTAATGTACATTCTTGGTACAGTAAGTTCTCTTTAATTGACGCTCAGATTGTGCACAAAAATGGACAATTTAGGGAAAGTAGACACGATTACTCGAGCATTGCGTCTCGTTTCTATAGTTGTTTACAATCAGTGACTATAAAAACGAGCCTCCTCTCTTCCCAGATTGTCCAGTTTCGTGCAGAATCCGTGCGTCAATTATGGAGAATACAATATTAAAATATATTATTAGAACAATAGTTATTTTTGTGCTCTACGTAGGCAGAGAAAAGTGCAAACGACAGAGTCAAGGAAATTATTTTATTATTATTACCAAGCTATAATTACTAATTAAATTTTATTATTACCAATCCCGTCGGGAGATTTTACATTGAAAAATAAAATAACGAAGAGTGAGATTATAACGGAGTTATAATAATAATATATCTCTAACGGAGAGATTATACGATAATAATATATCAGCGAGTTTCCTTTGACATTGGAATTTTGGATGTGGGGAGATTCGACTGTCGAAAATCGGAAACTAACTTCTGCGCTACCGTGCACAGTACCCGTTATTGAAGTATCCGTCAATATTAACCCTTATGTCGGTGGTCAACATTTTCCGGGCCGTTCGATACGTTTCGAACGTGTACACACGCTCAACCCGTTCGGCCGTAATTTTATGCCGCAAATATTTCACGTGCACGTAAAAGCTGTTCGATCGGCACCGAACCAAAGCACAAGCGCATTTCGCGACTTCGAATCGAAAGAAAAATGTTAAAACGCGGAGGAAAGGGTGCGGACGTTGGAGGCGCGCTGATTATTGACATAAGGGGCTAATGAGACTCGATAAAACAGGGGCTGAGCGAAACGCAGATAAATGTTAGCGAAAGCAAACCGCACAACCGACAGGTACGCAAATGTTTCAAATAAGAAAAAAAGATATTATATATGTATAGATATTATGACCATGAATACACGTCACACGATACACATATATATATATATATCCACTCATCAACACCGAGTGACTAAAAACACACACACACACTCAGATATTATATATGTATATATATTTTTCAGATTTAGAAAGACCCATCCTGGTGCTGTAGTACACTTGAGTGATAATCCTTTAGATTTGAGCAAGGTACGCGTGTTTTTGAGTACATTTTATTTTGCATTATTACTCCATCCTTTAACCATGACGTCATACCTTAACATTCTTCAAAAGCAAAACCGGCAGAAATTCGAAGCGGATCATGATGTATCTCGGATACGTTTTAACGTTCTTGAATATGTTTTTTTTTTACGTACAATACGTCTTTCGGAACGTGTTCACATTCTACAGGCTGTCGCAAAATTATTGTACAAGCAGCAAATGAGGGATTCCTGACGTCATTTGAAGTAACTTTTTCCTTAGCGAAAGTGCGATCCGTGGTTTCGTTTACGAGTTATTAAGGAAAAACAGAGACCAATGAGAGATCGCGTGCTGCTGACGCCCCGCCCTCGCGACCACTGCAGCTGCGTCAGACGTTGTCGCGACGCGGCATTGGCTGAAAGGGCAGAGCTCTCCGATTGGTCAGCGTTTTTCGTTAATAACTCGTAAACGGAGCCGCGGATTGCATTTTCGCTAAGGAAAAAGTTGCTTCGAACGATCTCAGGAATCTCTCGTCTCCCGGAAGTGCCATGATTTTGGGACAGCCTGTCTACATATCGTATCGAGAATCAGCAACGTGTGCTTGCATGTTGTGTGTGTGCATGCGTGCATGCTATATTTATTGTCGTACGAAACAACTCGATACGGTTACTACTTTTCCGAAGAGAATCGCATTGTTTAACTATATTTCCCCGACGCATCTCATACATTCTCAGAAGACACAATGGAATCGATCGAAACTCGACATCGTACGTCTAGAAAATGTGATTCGCTGTTTTGTTTTCTTGAATCGTTTCCGGCAATAATCGATTCTAATCGCAGTTATAATTTAACAATGAAAGACAACCTAAACAAACACACGTATGACAATTGGCCAATGATCAATGTTACTTCTCGTTTTCTGTTACTTTTTACACTATATTGTTGGCTTTGTTTTAGTTTTCGTCGTTATCTCTGGTAGTCAGTGTTAAAACTTATTCTTGCGACATTACGAATAACATTGTTTAGATAGTATTTTCATTTGCATAAGATGTCTGTATGTTTAACAACGTTTTCCTCCTTTCTCCCCCTTTACGTTCCTCTTAATTTTACGTCAGTTTAGTACACACGGCGATATCGTACTCGCCACAAAAGCTAGCTCGAGTTACACCAAAATTGATCTCGCAACCATAATCACTCATTCCTCCTCCTCCTGTACGTTCTACGAACGTTCCGCAAATTAACGTAATCCCGTTCACGTCAGGGCGCAGATTTATTCGACTGCAGATCTTTGTGCAAGTTTATATTCTCATAGATTATTCCATCGTTGTTCTCGTCGTAATGATAGACGAGTCGATGATCTTTTTCTTTTTTTTTAATCCCACGAACGTAAAAGGATCTGCTATCTGCAAAAA